GTGGTTGTCTCGTGAGGTCATTCCAAGGTTTGGTGTACCTGTGGTCATAAGATCGGATAATGCTAGGCATTTTTCAAATAAGGAACTGCAAAAAGTGGAGAAGATGTTTGGGATCAAGCATCAGTTTGACGACTATGCCTTCAGAATGAAACACTTTACAAATGCAGCATGATGTGATGTCAGAATACATTATGAGGTTGAGAAATACTGTCATGAGTCCGTCCCAACAGGTGGTGGGTGTATTGACACGAGACGACGGCGATCCCTGTGAGATTGTCAATCCAGGGGATTGGGTGCTGAGGAAGTTGGCACGTTTTGACTGGCGTCAGCTGAGGTTGCACGCACCATTTCAAGTTGCGGAGACAATATCTCACTGTACAAAGGTGTGGTTGTCTGGGACAAAGTTGAGTAATTGGATTCATAAAACACACTGCTGCAAATCCGTTGCTTTTACAGAAAAAACTCAGAAACACATTGAAAAACAGCTGGGTGAACTGAATGCTCCTTTTGAAGAGGGAGACACAGCTGCTGAATCTGAGTATCAACCTCCATATAATTTTAGGAGTAAGAAATATTGTTTAAAAAAACTGAAGCCATCATATGAGATAGATGATGGCTTCCGGGGGGAAATGTCTGTTTTTATTTTATTTGTTTATTTGCTGTTTTGAATTAACATGTGGGATGCAAGACACAGAAAAAAAATGATGAAAAGCACACTAACCTGACTGGCCTAATCCATGACAACATGACTGATCTGCCCTCTTATGATGATTTTGTGTTTGAAAAAATGCACGTCTCAAACAGGATACTGCTGGAATTTTTGAAAGGCAGAGGGAAAAGAGCAGATGTGCATTATGAGACTTATAAATTTACTTTTGTGGAGGGGCAAACTGCTTCCATTTTCTTTGATCTGTGCTCTGTCATTGGGTGTGGTTCAGAGCAGGGGGTTTATCAATCAGCAAGAGTATATGTCTGTACGACTGAAATAATGCCTTATTTGAACAAGGACTTTGGGTGTGGTTATCAGTTAGGAGGATGGGGAAAGATTCCTTTTCAGGACAAATTAGACATTAGGAGAGACCAAGTTAAAGGGGGCCTGTGTAATAATGATTCTACTTGTAACCCTACGTTTCTGACTTTGAGAAATCCACAGGTGACAGATATTGGATTTCTGCTGATGGGGCTGGCGGTGAGAGGACGAGACCCAGTTGGTAAAATCTATATTCATGTGGTGCAGCTTAATGACTTAAGCTAACAGTTGAAGTGGGCTCTAGCGAGGAACTTGTTGTAGACACGGGGGTTACTCAGACTAATTATTGGTTAAGATTTGTCAGAAATGCAGCCAGTCAAGCAAAATTGTCAAATTGTGTGGAATGTGCGGAAGCAAGGCCAGCACTATTAACGGTTCCATCACCTCTGAGTAATGCTTCAACTTTTTTCTGTATGTTGCAATTGCATATTACTGAAAACCCATCAGTTCAGTGTAAATATTTAGAACACTTCTTTCCTATGTCTTCAAAAACAGATGTGCCTCCGGTGTTCAAGGCAGTGGAGGGCAGTTTCACTTGTTTGGCCAGAAGGGGGCGGCAGAGAAGCATGGCTGTTGGACGGCTGAATGTGACCTGGTGTTCTTACATAATGTATCATTGAGGGAGAATGCAACAATGTTAAATGTGTCTAGGGCGGATGTATTTTGGTACTGTGGTAATAATCGTTTGTTAAAGGTGTTGCCAGCAGCTTGGAGTGGGCTGTGTGCGGAGGTGTCCCTGGTCTCGCCGGTCAGGTTTGTAAATATCATGATTGATGAATTGCTGGAACATCGGGCTCTCTTGGATAAGCAGGTTGTTTATTTGAACCAGGTTAAACGTGAGTTTGACATATATGAAAGCAGTCCAATGTACATTGATGCTATTGGGTGCCAAGGGGGGTTCCCACTGAATTTAAATTGATCGATCAGGTGGCAGCTGGCTTTGAAAGCATTTTACTTTGGATTACCCTTAACAAAAACGTCGATTGTATCAATTGCATTCATTTTTCTTTGCAGAGGCTTAATAATTTGACCAGGGATGCCCTTCAGAGTGCGCATGAGCAGTTGGCTGCAACGTCTTTAATGGCTTATCAGAATCGCATTGCATTAGACTATTTATTAGCAGAACAAGGTGGAGTGTGTTCATTTTTTGTTGTACATTTATTCCTGGACATACTGAAACTGATGGGTCATTTACAAAGGCTGTTAAAGGTCTGCGAACTTTGTGGAGATGAACAATTTCTCAGGGGCTGCCACACAGACGGAGGGATGGTTAATGAAGATCTTTGGAGGTTGGAAAAATCTGATGTCTGCTATTGTGACGCCATTAGTGATGACGGTGGTAATACTAGGTTTTTGCTGTTTCTGTGGCATCCCAGTGGCTAGAATATTTTGCTTGAGGGCCATCTCCCAGACTGTTCGAAATACTTTACACCAACATCCCACCATGGAGTACCAGATGGTATAGACGACGGACACAGCTCCAGTGCCACCACTACAATATCCATATGGCGCAGACGACGACTGATGTGGAGACCAAGGCCCTGAAAATGATCATTCTAGCTGACATTTTTAGATATAGAATAATAACACTGAAATAGTTATACTCACGTAGTCGGACATGATATTTGTAGGTTAACGAGCCGATGGTAAATGATTTTTGTAAAATGTTGTTTGATTTTCCTTTATGTTTTTCATTATTGATTCTTTTTATAGAAGTGACACACTAACCAGGATATGTTTAGAACTGTTTTAGCATTTTGGTTGATTTGTTTTTACTGTTCTTTGTATGGTTTAATTGTTGATGAGCTAAGGTTAAATCTTAATATGCAGGGATGTTGTTGGTAACCAGGTCAGTCTGCCACGGAAGACAGGGGGAGATGGAACGGTGCTGAGGACTTGTTCCCGACGGTAGGCCATGTTCTGGAACCTCTGGCCTCGAAAGAATAAACACAGCTGACCTGGTTGGTATTTCAATTCAGTTCAAATTCAAAAATACTTTATTGATCCCAGAGGGAAAATTTGACAATAGTTCAGTTTACGTTTTCTATTTTTTTGATTGGAATGGAATAAATGGATCATATTACTTTATATCAGGGGTGGGATGTTAGAAATTTTCCACGTTGTGCTGTATCGCTTAGGGTAATTTGCATACACATTTGTGCCTTAATGCGAACATATAGATTATTATAAATTTCTTATTTTTGTTCACATGATTTGGTCGTGTGAACAGGGGGATTGAAGAATTTTAAAGTTAGTAGAGGTTAGTACTGATGTTAAAAGCACAACACYATATTCTTAGGTTTTCCTTTTTGTAATGTTGACAGTGTTTAATCTATTATGTTTTGATTGAAATAGGTTCAGTTACATGTCCGAAATATGTGACAAAACATAATTAAACGTTGGGATGACATTAGCTGAGGATTTTGTCTGAATGCCTGTGATTCAGCCATAGGTCAGTAGGGGGCGAACGCAGGCACTGAAGAAGGTGTATAAATACATGAACTTTCTGTTTTTCCGGTAGTGTTGGTTTCCTGTAAGCTTGAGTGACCTCACTCAGATCCAAAATTCTGGTGTTGTATGGTTCAATTCCTTCTACAAATCATTTTATTTAACAATTGTGTTTCTAATATCGACTTCAGTTTATTGAATACAAATTTTCTTACATAATCATAAATTTAAAGTTTACCATCGACATAAGAAACATTCTTCATAGTAATTAAAAATATATATATTTTGGGAGTGTGGGGGTACCCCCCTGGTGGACCAGAACAGAGTTGCGGGCCTTGAATTTGATTAGACTGTAACAGGATGGAGACATTTCAGCATATGTTGGACCTGGACCACAGGCTTTCGGTATCAACCAACAAGCTTCTGTCAGATATCTGACTGTTGGAAGAAGGGGTTCTCAAATGTTTTGGATCTGGGGACCCCTTAAAAAGACGAAACATTTCCAGGGACCCCACTCATAAAACTCATGCTGATTTAAAAATAATTTACTGCATTTTTAAACCCTAAATGCTACGGGAATAATAATTATTGTTTGGTTTAGTATGCTTGTTTCACTTGTATATTGTTCCACATTCATTGCTAAAAACAAAAACCAAAAAAAAAAAAAAAAAAAAACCCAGTTTAAAAACCTCTGGTAGTTAAACTGAACTGGATTGAGCCTGGGTTTTTGTGAAGCTATTCCAGAGACCAGTTCTGTTCGGTGTCATTCTGTTGTTGGAACCCAACTGTGAGATATACAGAGTGGTACCACAGCATGATGCTCCCACCACCATGCAGGATGGTTTACCAACATTGTTTTTAGGTTTAAAAGCCTCACCTTGACTCTCCCAAACATATTTGTTATGGTGGACAATAGCTGTTTGTTTTGTGTGACAGAAGGTCACTGGTTTGTCCAGGTGTCACTTTTACAGCAGGATTTTTGGTCAGCACCATCTCAGTCCATGTTGCTGTAAAACTGGATTTATTGTGGATAATCAGACGTAACCCTTCACAATGAGAGCACCTTTATGTAGGACTGATTTATGCTAAGTTCTATTGTATAATCACTGCAGCCAGAAAAAAATAGTGGTTCACATAAATCATTAAAATAATCCAAACCAAACTATTCCTCATCCTAATTAAGCAGATTAGATAAACTTAACAAATACAACAACCACACAGCTTGACAGACTTTATAGTTTTAGACAAACTAAATGGTAAATGGTACTGAACTTACAGAGCGCTTTTCAAGTCCCTCCGGACCCCAAAGCGCTTTACACTAACAGACATTCACCCATTCACACTCACATTCACACACTGATGATCACACACTAAATGAGTAATTTCATTCTGTTAGGTTCAATTAATGTCGTTTGTATTTACTATTTTTAGCCTCAATACACAGTATTATATATTTTAACCAACAAATAAAAAGGTAAATACAGTATATATATGCAGAAAAGAACAAGGAGAAGAAATTCACCGTGAATCCAATGCCGACTGTAGCAGAGAAGGAACCAGGGATGAACTTTCCCTGATCAAACTGCACCAGCAGAGACGTCTTCCCCACTCCACTGTCCCCAACCAGGATTGTCTGCAGAGCACACACACACGCACGCACGCACGCACGCACGCACGCACGCACGCACGCACGCACGCACACACACACACACACACAGAGGAGAGATGAGACATTCTCCAGAATCCAAACTTCTTCAGTCTTCATCTTCAACTCAACTCAGACGACATGAAAGCACGATGCAGTGATCTAAAAAAACAGGTCCATGTTTCCCTCTGAAGCATCCCAGTTCTGGAAGTTTTGAAGGGAACTATGTCCCATTCTGGTCTAACAGAGGATTCTAGATGTTCAGCAGTTCTGGCTCCTCTGTACTGAACTGTTTTGTCCGGATGGAAGCTGGTGTTTTAGAACCTGTATTGATTTCTCAGGATAAATGTCGCCTGTCCAGATGTGTAAGCTGACAATGCCAGAGGCATTAATGCACCTCCATACCATTAGAGAAGAAGGTTTTTAACTGTGCACTGATAACAAACTGGATAGTTTCTCTCCTTTTTAATACAAAGGAAGTTTTTCAATATTCAGTGTGCATTGCCAATGCAATGCACACTATTGTTTTCCTGTTTCTCTTTATTATTATTATTCAACTTATTCCGTCTTCTTCCACGTCGCCATGCTACTCTTCCTGCATACTTTGTCCTACAGCTGCCATTGTAATTTCTATCTGTAAAGGTCCTAAGCCAAATGATTGCTATGCCTTCTGGTGCCTGTACAGTTTGTAGTTTTGAGTAGTTTCCGTGTGAGATCAATACAGATTTTTTTTTGCGCAAATGACAGATATTTGATGCTCATCAAACAAGTAACCGTCTGAAGGGTTGACATGTATGAAGTCCCGGGCAGGTCAGAGCCACGCTGCGCGTGGACAGGTGCAGCAGCTGCGGTCAAACTGCCCCTCGCTTTAAAACCAGTTAGCTGATCTGTCGTGGCTTTGTTCTGCTCGTGAACACAGTGTTACAGGGGGAAATTCTGCGAGGTGCTTTTAGAAATATAATATATTTAAAATACGACATAATCCTATTACGTAATCTTATTTTAAGATATCAGGGCATCTTAAAATAAGATAGATCATCGTGAATGCGACACTTATGAATCGCTCTCGCTAAAACACAGCACAACCATAAACACGGACTAGTCTGTGCATTTTGGATGTTAATAATTGTAACGTAACGTAATATAATGAGAGGAAACAAGTCATTGTGTGAGAGCGGGTGCATTTTATCACCACCAAGGACAAGTCGCACAAAATGTGTCTTCTGCTGTGGCGTATGTTAAATCTGATATACAACTTACATGTTTACAACAATAAAAACAAAACTACTTGCGTGTCAGCTTAGCTTGCTAGCTTGAAATCTTACCTCGAGGGTTAGACATTCTGGAGCTGAGGCCGGCGTTGCTGGCGAGGAAGAAATACACACCGCCTTGCCCGCGGCCGTGATGTCACTCCCCTGCTTCGGGGTTGTGAACATAGACCTTTTATGTAAAGGCTAGATAAGTCATCCCTGCTGCCGCCGTGTGAGGATGCCAGAGACTCCACTAGTGTTTTTATATACCTCTATGATTGAGAAGTCATTTTAATTTTGTTACTTGTTTTGCGGGGCGGGTGTGAAAAAGAAAAAGCACTTTCCTCTTTGTTTTCACTGCAGTTGTGTCAAACAATGGGCAGTTTTGAAGATGAAAATGGAAGCAAAGTTTGGATAACTGATTTCTAATTATATTTATGAGTTAAAAAATGCAGTTTTGACTTTGAAATGAAAAAGCATTTCTGCTAATGCATTTTAGTTTTCTAATTTGACTTTTCTAAAAGAATTTTGGTCACTTTTTAGCAGTACA